AGAAACTCTGACTATCATAGAATCTGTTATTGTATTTACGCTTATTCTATTTAATAAAAATAGCATATTCTATTCTAAAAAAAATGATGTCAATTGCCAAAAGAAATTTATTTCTTCGAAAAAAAAAGAGTATGCTCTTTTATAAGGGGAATTCTATTCGTTACCGTTTTTATTATATTTTTTTCTCCTGTTTTATTAGTTTTTTCCGTTTTTACTTGTCTTTATCTATTAGATTTTTTTCTTCCCTGCTGAAGTATCTATTAGATTGTTTAGTTGCCCGCTTGTCATGTTATTTTCAATAAATTTTTAGATTAAAACGTGTTGCCATTTGTGTGAAAAGTCGGATTTTACTTGAAAAAAAAGTCCCTTATGAGTTATGAGAAATGATAAGAAACTACTGCAACAATTGCACAAATATATAAGAACTTGTTCTTTTAGAGTTTAACTTGAGTATAATTTTTGAGTTAAATTTGAATTGAAGTTATAATTTGAGTTTGTATTTAGTTGTGTACATTTGAATTATGATTTGAGATAAGAATCTTTTTTGAGTGAGTCAAAACTTAAATTTGTATTTATATAGTATTTTAATAAAAACTCAATACTGATGGAAAATTTTAATAGGGTATATGGGTGGGGTTTTATTCGTCTTTTCGTTGTCAATGCATAAAAAAAAAATCATCTAAATCAGAATTAAAACGAAAAAGTTATAATATTTTTAAAAATAAAAAAATACTGTTTATTAATTTGAGTTTGAATTTCTGAACTCGAGTTGAAGGGAAAACTTGAACTCAAATTTTAATGCATAGAAAAAAAAATCATCTAAATCAGAATTAAAACGAAAAAGTTATAATATTTTTAAAAATAAAAAAATACTATTTATTAATTTGAGTTTGAATTTCTGAACTCGAGTTGAAGGAAAAACTTGAACTCAAATTTTAGTCTCAAACTCAAATTTAAACTTAAAAAAATATAAACTTAAATACAATTATAATTCAAGTTGTATTTTTTTAAATTTTTCGACAAAAAACAAGTCTATATAAATCACACAAAAGAAGAAAATTTATTTCACACTGATCAAAGGACAAATTACTGGATCAGAACGTTTGAAAAAGAAAGCCTTTTACGAAAGCACATCATAAGAATCGCATTTGAAATGATTACGAACTAGAAACGACAAATATATAAACAACACGAAGTTGTGAAACGAAAATAAAAGAAAAACGACATCAAAATAGGAAACGACCAAAATGGTTATAGACATAATATTAGGCTCGTTCATTTCACCGATTCGAGTTTAAAATTCAAATTTTGTTACAGTAAAAAGCTCTCAGAAACAGTCACATCTAACTTTTTTTCTACAATAAAAAGCTCTCACATAACGTCACATCTCAACTCGAATTAAAAATTTAAATCAGCGAACTAAACGGGCCCGTATGTGTGTGTGATTTCCGGTAAAAAATGGGAGTTGTTTGGTGTACTGAAAAATGAATAATCAATAATTCTTTTACTTTCAATCCTCAAATCTTTATTATGAACGAAATGTTTTACATAATTTTTTAAGAGAAAAAGGGACAAATATTCTTTAAAAATATATAAATATTATATTTTTTTCTTTACATTGATCAATATAATTATATTAGTTAAAATGACTAATATAATTCTTAAAAATGACTAATATAGCTCTTTTATATTAGTCATATAATTATAAAGAATAAAACTCTTATAACAATACACTAAATTAAAAGGTGAGTTTATAGATTTTTTTCTTTTTTTAATTAAATATGATTTTAATCAATTTTTTTAAATGATTTTAATTAATTTTAAGGTTAAAAATTAACTTAAAAAGGGAGACATACTTTTTAATTTATACATAATTTTATAAAGATTTAATAGTTAAAAAATATTACTGCTAAATTTGGGAATAATTTTCCGAAAAGCAAAAAGGCAAATAGGATAACAACCGGAGGAAATAGGGAAAAAAAAAGTTGAAAAACATGAGTCGGCAAAAACTCATATCTCAAGAATATTGAAATCCAACGGTTTCGAGTCTCGCCCCTCCCGCCCCTTATTCGGTTGACCAGCCCAGAATACAGTACCAGCGAAGCCACCACCAGGTTCGAGAGAGAGAGAGATGTGTGGAAGGGCTCGTTGTACTCTGAGAGCCGACGACGTCCCCAGAGCTTGCCATCGCAACAATGGCTCAGTCCGTACGGTTAATATGGACCGGTAAAGCTTCATCTTTTACCTTTTCATTCTTCTCTCTACTTCCAACACATATTCGTTCATCAAAGTTCGATTACTTTTTCGACTTCGAAACAGTTCAATCGAGATTATTGCGCTTGATTTGAATCAATTCGTAAACCGTTTTGTTTATACGACGATATAAGGTATTTTAGGTTTGGGAACTTCACTGATTGAAGCTTGAAACTTTGATTTGGTACTTCATTAGGTATCGCCCATCGTACAATGTCTCGCCGGGATCGAACATTCCTGTCGTTCGCAGAGAAGACGGCTCCGATGGCGAAGGTTTCGTCGTCCATTGCATGAAATGGGGACTAATTCCCAGTTTCACTAAGAAAACTGACAAACCTGATCACTATAAGATGGTAATGGCCATTGATTTGCTCCATTTTTATTTTTTTTTGGGAAAGCTGTTAAAGATTTTTTTTTAAAATGAAAATTTCAGTTTAATGCTCGGTCTGAGTCGATAGGTGAAAAGGTTTCTTTCCGTCGTCTAATTCCTAAAAGCCGGTGCCTTGTTGCAGTTGAAGGGTATGTATAATAATTACTCAACTGTTAACTTCTCCTAATTTCTTTTTTAATGGTCCGTTTGATTCATGCATTTAAGTCTGCTATTTTAATTCTTAATTCAAATTTGGTAAGAGAACCATTGGTGGGAATTTTTTTTATTCAAATTTTTTTAAGAAAAAAGTACTGTAGCAAAATAGAATTATAGGTTCAAATGTGTGAAACAAACGAGGCCTAAGTATTTTGTTTGTGAAGGTTGTTTCAACTTTTTTTTGCTTTGCAGAATTTGACAATAGAGATAGCTATATATTATTCTAAACTGATATTAAGTTGTTAACATTACTTGGCTGCTAACTTCTAAATTTCTATGTACACCATCAGAATCCTTTGTTGTTTTCTTAATCCCCCATTTGCTTATTTTCTGCTGTCATTCAAACAAAGTTTATATATATATATATATTTTCAGTTGAAGTCGTATGCACCCAAAATTTCAAAAAGAATTCCCCAATCATATTTCTTTACGTTGTTTTACTTGAATTTTTAGTTTCTTTATAATTATTCCACTATTTTCTCAATGTTCCGTTTGATAACTTCACGTCAATTATTCTCCAGATTCTATGAGTGGAAAAAGGATGGGTCGAAAAAACAACCTTACTACATTCATTTCAAGGACGGTCGCCCTCTTGTGTTTGCTGCTCTTTACGATTCTTGGGAAAACTATCTTGTGGTTTTTTTTTTTTTTTTTTTTTTTTTTTTTTTTTTTTTTAACTATTATTGTTAATTGGGTGAATGTGACCATATTTAAGATGAATTTTCTTCAGAGCTAGCTTCTTAGACAGCTATTGTAATTCCTGCAGGGGAGATACTTTACACCTTCACGATTCTTACGATTTCTTCTTCTTCAGCTTTGGGATGGTTGCATGGTCAGCTTTGTTCTTATTTCATTTTATTTATCTGATATTTTTGTTATCTCTATGTCTCTTGGGTCTTGTCCGTCTTTTAAAACATATTTCTTGCTATAGAGATTTCGACCTACGCATGATAGTCTCCTAAAGATCCCTATTCTTTGGACCATAAATACATGCTCTTTTAAATGTAAACATGTCACTCACAAAGGACATCTTTAAATCTAGGTTTATTATATACATTGTTAATGGTGATTGATAGTTCTTCAGGCTTTATCATGTCTTGATCCTTGTTAGAGTGGGGATTGTGAATTTATGCTCCTTCCTGGATAATCTTTGCATTTCTGATGACACATTTTAATAGAAGTTTAGCTTTTGCACCAACATTTCTTTAATCTACTATTGTAGACCGGATGCCTGTTATTTTTGGTGACAAGGAGTCGAGTGATGCATGGCTGACTGGTTCATCTTCCAAAGTTGGTGCATTGCTTAAGCCGTATGAAGATCCAGATTTGGTAAGAGCTCTTTTGCGATAAGAACAAGAGGCATGAGAACTATACATAAGAGTGTATACATTCATGTGCTTTGGATTCTGACAATTTTGTATCTCAAGGTTTGGTACCCAGTTACACCAGCAATGGGGAAGCCATCTTTTGACGGGCCCGAGTGCATTGAGGTATGAGAAGTTGCATTAACTATGATTTATCTTTATCATTTTGACTATTGGAGATAGGCCCATTGTTATTAGGACACGAGAAAATTTTCCTGCATTTGTTACTTTTTAACTTGTCTTCTAACTTTGTGTTAACACCATTTGTCAACAAAGAGGGTGTGTAAGAGAATGGCGCTGCTTTGTGTAGAATAATTTTGTGCAAAATCGCAGTTGAACTTGTCTTATACACACCAAATTCATGATTTTAACTCAATAGAAGAAGTGCTATTTGCTTATCGCACCGTTTTCTCCAGATGAAGTTGAAAGCAGATGGAAATATCCCGATATCAAAATTTTTCTCAGCAAAGGGAACCAAAAAAGAAGCGGACTTAAACCCAGAGGAGAGTTCTTCCAAGGTTGATTCCGCAAAATGCTTGGAAGAAAAGCCTGAATCAAAAGCGAACAGGGGACCTTTCTCTTCAACTGAAAAAGGAGAAGCTGACTCCAAATCTAGTGTCTCTTCATTTTCTCAGGGCGGTGCAGAGAAGTGCCAAATAAAGCGCGACCATGAAAAGCTTTCAGCTGATTCAAAGTCGAATACAGATGAAACTAAGAAGCTGTTTGACAGTCCAGGGAGAAAGAAAGTAAAATTGAAGAGTGCTGGCGATTATAAACAGCCAACAGTACTTGCATATTTTGGTAAAAAGTAATCATGGATGTGAACTTTTCTTGTGCCCCATATGCATATAGGGGGATTTCGTGATGGTCAAGAAATTGATGACCCTCTGTTTTTTTTTTCCCTCTATAAAGTAGCCTTCAATCTGTAGTTACAAGCAGATCTGTTTTGGGCCTTCTGGCCAAGTTCAAATCGCTTTGTTGTGATTGTGCATTTCGTTTACCTATCAAACAGTGTAACTTGTGCCAATGAAAGCTGATCTTGAGCCATTTATGCTTTGCACGATTCTAATATTCGTTTTATGTTGAATTTTTTCCTTTATGTTCAAATGCGTGTGCGAATAAGGATTTCACACCAGATCTTCTAGAAAGAAAGAAAAAATTATGACTTTCAATATTTGATTGTCTTTGACTTGTACTAATTACAAAAGAAGCAATCTGTCTGTTCAAACAGAAGGACTATTGCGAGCCCTTATTACACAATTTAAGAAAAAGGTAGAGACCACCCAAAGAAGTTGCAGTTTACAATCCACAAAGGGGAAACACCTGGGGACGTAGAAATGGCAAAGACCAAAAGACACCGTCAATCAATTGTGCATTTGGTACAATCTCCGTTATGATTTTCCTTAGCATCCTTACAGGACCGGCCATGAATCCCCACTGCACTGCCGTGCGTGATCCAAGAGAGAAACTGCGCCGCTTATTACCGAGTCGCACGGTGGCGCCTCTCCGCCGCCTCAGCCGCCTTTTAGGGCGGCACCACCTGACCAACATGGTGGAATCTGGGAGCATGGATATGGTTATGGCACCCCTTCTCAACATCTCTTAGCTGAGCTGACTTTTGTTGTTTTGTGGCTGTGCTTGGTACTGTACTTTGTGAATTCTAATTTGAATCCCAAATTCTTTATAAATCGTTGTGTTAAAGATGAATCAATGATGTCAATCATGAAGGCGATAATGGGCAGCGATTATAACAATCATGAAGCTTTGAGGCCTGATCAAATAGTGAAGTATAGTAGTACCCTACCAAGGAGAATATATTATATATTTTATGTTTGGTTTGTGGTAGCCATCATTAAGAGAGTTCAAAAAAATGTACTTGTAATCGAAGAATCATATCAATATCACATTTTTTTTATTTGATGCTGACAACCTGAAAATATTATAATCGTTTTGGACTGTTCTAATTAAGTTCTTAATTATGATTAAGCTTCATCTTGTGACGCTATAATCTGTATAGACAAGATAAAGGTTTATCCTAAAAATATTGATGGGTTAAGAGTTTAAAAACGAGTTATTGCAACAATAAGGTATATATGATTTAAATATCAAAGTTGGAATTTAATTTAGATATGTTGTTGGCGCTTCATTACAAAAGCAAAATTTCTAGAAACTTTAATTTATCAGATATCGGGTGATAATTGCAGATAAACCAGATAAATTTTGGGATGCTCAATTTTTGTTTCCTTCCAAGAAAAAAAAAGTAAAAGCTATTAATGGGTTTTCATTAAATCTTAAATTAATTTCGGATATATTATTAATTTTGTCTCAGCTTTAGCTCTTTGCATCTTGAGACTTGAATGATCCTCTGGCCCTCAAACTATGGACCACATATTTCCTACCTCCCTCCCCTCCCCTTTTCCGTTCAAGCCTTTGTTTCCAATTTAAGGAATGTTTATGCCCATTTCACAAGACTTTTTTTTATTAAAGAAAAAATTTCTGTTACCTTTAAAAAGTGTAAGTAATCATCGTATTGTTAACATATCGCCATTTTATTACAAATAAAATCTTCTTTTAAAAAGCAGCTTTTGTAGTGTTTATTGTATATGTGTGAATAATATGCTTCCACCATACTGTTTTATATTAAAATACGGTTAAACTTCTATAAATTAATACTCTTGGACCATGAAAATTTATTAATTAATCGAGATATTATTTAATATATATATATATATTTAGACGAGTTTTCTAAGTCGGGATCAACCAACAATGTAATTAAATTGAGATAATTTAATAATAGTTATAGAGTATTAATTTATGGAGGTTATCCTGAATCACTTAACAAAGACTCTTGACAACTTTGGGCTTCTTAGATTGAGCTCAGGAGCGTTAAGTTGAAATAGATTCTGGTGGATCAGTCGATCTGATCAGAGCTCTTCATTATCACATGGGCCTCAAGGAATCTAAGTCCATTCTATGTTCTTTTGGGTCCAATTCACAATCCATTCTGTGTTCATTCTTCTGTTTTGTTTTCCTCGATAAATTTGGATAGAGATGCAAGAACGGTCCGGCCCGTTATCATTAGGCCCACGCGGGCCATGAGCCAGGCCAGACCAGTCCACAAAATTTATGGGCAGGGCCCGCTTGTATAAAAATTATCTCGGTTCAGCCCACACCACGAGCCAATTTTACGTGGGCCAGGCTGGACCGTGCCATAGGCCTTGAATGAGCTGGCTCATTCAAGGCCCATCTTGGCCCATCATGGGTTTAGATTGGCCAACTCATTTAAGCATGTAATTTTCAATTTTTTATTTTTATTTTTTATTTTTGAATTTTTAAATAAGTTAACAAATATAAAAGTTTGAATTGTCAATGGAAGTATGAAAATGGATATTTTATTTACAATTGCCTCATCAAAAACCTTTCTAAGGAAAAATCAGTGGGACAAAATCTTAGTAAGAAAAAAAGAGTACAATCAGGATAATTATACATAAGATGTTTACAAAATTACTTAAAAAAAGAAAAAAAACATAAAAATAAATAAATATTGTTCACAATTACAATGTATTACTCCCAGTGGGAGTATCAGAAATGTCTAAATTTTTAAAGTCATCACCCAATCATCTTGAACTTGTTGGCTTCTCCCATTGTGGGCCTATATGGGCCTTACACGGGCCGACCCATTATGGGCCTAGATGGGCTGGCCCTGCCCATGATTTTTCATAGGCCGTGCCGGGCTAGCCTATGGGCCGATATACGTTAGTACAGCCCAGCCCACTAATATTTATTTGCTGGATCATGCCTTAAACAGTGACGGGTTGTGTCAACACAGCCCGTCACTGTGTCAGGATGGGTCTGGGCCAGCCCACGGGCCCCGGCCCATTGTTGCATCTCTAAATTTGGATTTATACCATGACTAATGTGTTGAGATGTGGAGCCTAATTTCATGTACATGAAAGAAGAAGCAAGTTTGAAGAAGACAACAAATGAAAAAAAAAGGTTTGAGCGCCGTGGCACTGGCCTTGGTGTGCCGCAGCTATGATGTGCAAAGAATGCGCAGGAAGCAGGGCGCCATGGCACTAGGACTCAGTGCCATGGTACTCCAGAAATCGGCCTCGTAATGCCGCGGTACCAAGGATGGGCGCCACGGTACTAGAGAACACGCGCAGGCCGATTTGAAGTGGCACTGTGGGTAAATTCGAACCATGAAGAAGTTGTGGCCTAAATCTGACACCATATAGAATTTTGGCATACCACCCTTTCATTTTCGTTGCCTTGCCGTGTCTTGCCTTCTTCTGATTCTCTTTGGGGTCTCAAAATGCGCGTAATGTTCTTTCACAATCTGCAGGTCCTATGGTAATACGATATGTGTGGCGAAAGAGACTGCACATATACAATATGGGTCCTGCCAATATACAACATGTGGCAGTAAAAGATAATGCAGCTATCTAAAGGAAAGGGGGAAAAAAAATGTTGGTACAAAATGACAAGTATTCCTCTTGCTTCTAATTCGTTAGCACTCTTTTCTCTCTACATATAATAATAGTACTTCACAAATAAATTTGAGGAAACAACAAATTAAATATGTAAATTACAATTGGACGTATGCCTTTCTTTACTTTTTTTCAATATATATAACATATATATATATATATATATATATATTACAGGAAGCCAAAACTACGGGCGTCATATTCTTTTTAAAAAAAAAAATTACAATAAATAATAGATTTTTAAAATTAAATTAAGTAAATAGTAAAATTTAAAATTATTTAAGGTAAATAGTAATTTACCGTGTAAATTTATCAATACAACAGATACAAAATAATTTATGTAGTAAAAAATCTTTATTTATGCAGAAAAAATTCTTTTTAATAGTCATAAAAAGAAAATTTACGTGGAAAAAAATCTTTTTATTAATTGTAAATAAAACATTTATACAATAAGTTACTATTTACCTTAAATAATTTTAAAATCCACCATTTATTTAATTTTGTTTCATAAATTTACTATTTACTTAGTTTTATATAAAAACTAAAAAGATGAAGCTCTATAGTGTATTAGGAAGGTCGAAAGTGTCACTATAAAGTCTTTTAAATCACTAAGAAAAATCACTAAAATTATACAGTCCTGACCTTTTACAGCTATAACACACTATGTTTTTTTAACTTTTGAATTTAAAAACGGAGGAATTAAATTCTAGACCTAAATATTTTATTTTCCGTGTCATCTATGTTGTTCGATTTTTATACACATACGCGCTTCTCATTCTAATTATTGAAAACAAAACAAATAAAAGTCAAACAAAACAAATAAAAGTCAACTAAGTATATCCGGCAGTGGTCAAAGTTGTTGGTAAGTTGCATCCTGCGTCAAAGAATCAAAATCGGAGCTGAATTTACATTATTTTTACATGCGTTCCAAAAATGTGGCACCTTAATAAATTGAGTAGGTGCCAATGCTTGATAGCCGTATAATTGGTCTGGTTGTTTTATGATATTGTATTTCTCTTTCAAGTTTCAATTTTTTTTTCTTGTCCAAAAATTGAAAGGCATGATTTGGAGAGAAGAGATTAGATCCCTTATAGTATTTAGGTCTGGAATTTTACCATTTTTTTATTAATATACTTTTTAGTTAAATAACTATATTAGTTAAAAGTATATTAATCAAGAATAAAAAATAAATGGTGCGTTTAGAACTCGTTTCAAAATGATTTTATTTTTTGTATGAAAATGAAAACGAAAACGTTTTCAATCTCAGACAAAAATCATTTTTAAAAATGTGTTTAGTAGTTTTATCAAAAGATTGTTTTCCGTATAAAAAAAAAAAAAACCATTAATCTCTCTCTCTCTACTTGAGAGAGGAGAAAACAGAACTAAAAAATAAAAAACGACTAAAAGTCATTTTTCATTTCTCTCTCATTTTACACTAAATTAAAAAAATCGTTTTCATTCTGTTTTTTATCTTTAATTGTGTCAAATGCCGTTTCTCTCTCTTTTTTTATTTTTTTCTCAAAAAATTTGAAAAATAAAAATAAAAACAACTCCAAACACAATCAAAAATTCAGATTCAATGGTAAGTTGAATAATTTTTTCAAATATATTTTTATAAATGATATTAGTCATTGGTACTGGACGAGTATAAATTATTTCACATGGCCAGGTAAAAACGATGGCGACCTATTTTGTGATGGAAACAAGAGGCAAGTGGTGCAGTGACAGGAACAGCTTACATGTGCTCTTTTCCTCAATTTACTTTTTTTTTTTTTTTAATGTAAACTTTTATACGTCCGATTTCTATCTTATGTAGTTGCATAAAGTCCAACACCGAAAGAGATATGAAACCAACAGATAAGACTGATTGTGGTACTTGTGACAATACTCAACTAGAGATTGACTGATCAAATACGCAACTAGAACGAAGACCAATCAAAGCAAAAGATAAACTAGTGCCCACCAACACAATTCCCATCCCAAAAGTAAACTAAAGAATTCTTGATTAGCGAACCAAATAGATTCTTAAGCTGTATTACAAGATAGCATATTAGTAACTATTCAATCAGATAGTGCACTGCTCAAGTTGATGGGAGTATTTTATACCATGAAAAGGCAATACGAACACAGAAAGGGCAACGACAAACAGTCTGTTTGGTTTTACATGTAAACTCGAATCAAACCCTTGAAAGAAAAATACCTGTGTATTGAACTTCATGAACAAACACTAAAATGGTACATAAGAAATTAAACACACACATGACTTCTTAACAAATTCTCACGGTCGATGAAATATCCCATAAACCATGTCTCAATTTGTCAAAACAATAATTGTCGTAGGTAAAAAAAAAATGAATAATATGGGAGGTGTGAACTTGTGATAAACAAATAAAGAATAATCTATATAAATAACAAAATCTTATCAACTTTGTAAATAAGAGTCCGTTTGGTTCATAGATTCAGAATCATAATTCATGATTCTAATTTTTAAAATTTAAATTTTTTGTGAGAGAAAAACATAGAGAATCATGAATCATGATTCAGAACCAGGAACAGATACATGAAACAAACATCCCCTAATTAATTCCCACCAGCCAAAGAGTGACTTCATAGTTCATACATCCATTCAAAAACCATACACAGCTCTAACACCAGTCTCAATCATATGCAACGACATTTAAAAAGAAAACTAGCTAGTCCTAGTAATAATAATAATACACAAGATATGATCAAGTAGTGTGTACTGCTCAGCGAAGAAATCAAAAGGAGAGACTAGCTAGAAGAGTACTGGTGGGTGAGTTTCAAAAACAAATAAAGTATTATATATATATATATATATATATATTTGATTAGGCGCTCTGATCAGTGGCGTTAATTATGGTGGTATCGGTATTGGTGTTTAGTTGTTTGGAAGAAGCAGGGTATTTAATGGCATTAAGCTCAACCTTACGAAGAGCAGCTTTGCCGAGATCAACGCCACAAATGTCAGAAAGCCTGACGAGATAAAGGAGAACATCTGAAAGCTCTTCACCCAGGTGTACCTTTTCCTCTTCTTTCCAATCAGGAAGCCCCTTTGGTACCTCTCCTTTCCATTGGAATATCTCTGAAAGTTCTCCCACTTCCCCCACCTGATCATCAGATAACAATTGTTGTTTTTGTTGTTGTTGATCATAAAACAATTAAGACATCTCTTCTAATCGAATTATTCCTACTTTAATTGCTTGCTTTGTTGGGGGTGAGTACAAAAGCAAAAAAAAGTACAAGGAAAATGTGATTATTAATAATAATAAAAAGGTGGGGTTCTTAAGATTTCTGTGATGACAACAAAAAGGATGATCCATTTGAGAAAAGCTAGTCAATTTTGACTGTGGTTAATAAAAAAGAAACATTAACTAGGGATTAAGGAAGCTTCTTTTTTGAAAACAGTAAAAGGAAGAAAAGGTAAATAAAGGTTTTGAGGCCCATTAGTGATTAATTATAAATAATAATGATAAAAAAACGATTTTACTGAAACCTTGTTACCATTTAAATTTAAAAAAAAAAAAGGAATAGGAAGGAAAAAAAAAAGGAAATTATACAAGCCCACTTGGAGAAAAATACTCCTATCTGTATTATTATCTCTGTCCATTCAAACTATAATGTAAGTTGAACATGTTTATCTACACAATATTCACTTTTATATATCTCATAACCCACTAAGAAAAGCCAAAGAAAAATATGATTATAATACAATAAATAATTATCCATGATGCCTCCCCATTTTATGGATCAAGAAAACGACAATATACATCAATGGAAAATCAACCAAACAGCCATATATAAGACAGAAACAAAAGAAAAGAGATACAAACCCCTTAAAATAGTTGACATTAACAAGAAGAAGAACAAGAAAATGGACAAACTAGAGATACAAGGTTTTTCCCATATGACAACAACAATTATTATTATTATTATTAATATATTGGCGACATACCAGAGCCAAAAGGAGGTTTCTGGGGCTGTGGAACTGGTCCCAGTCTCTTTCCTTGGCAAATTCGGCCATTTTCCCCTTCAGAAGATGGAGAGTAACGCTTTCATCTCCCGAAACCCCAGTCATGATTTTCTTCTTCTTCTTTTTTTTTTTTTTTTTTCCTTTTTTTCTATGACCCCTAGCTACGCGTCTCTCTCTCTCTCTCTCACTCTAGAAAAAAACAAAGCCAAAGAAGAATATGATGAAGGGCTCAGAAGACCAATGAATTTATACGGAAAGAATTTAGAGACCACCGAGCGGTGTGCAATTACTCTTGCACAGGCTTTCCAAATATAAAAATATACTCTTTTTAAGAGAGAGAGAGAGAGAGTGAGAGAGAGAGAGAGAGATTGCAGTGCAGGTAATAAAAGCATTGCTTCGGAATGGAATAAGGACGTTACCATATAGATTTCGGAACCAATTAACTCGTCTTGTTCATCCTTGGCATACGAGGCTACCGGCTATAGCCGGTGGCCAAATTTTTATATGGAGAAGAAAAACACTATAAATTTATAAATTTTCAATTGGATAACACTATAAATTTTCAATTTTAATAAATTGCACACAAAAATTTAAAATCAGTAGCATGTAAAGTCTAATAATTAATGGGTGTTATCTAATCCAAAGTTTGAATTACCAGATTTGCATATGATCTAATTTTAAAAGAGACAAGCTGTTTTGTCTATTTTGTGTGGATCTCGTGTGTTAAATAGTTAATTTTGTAATATTATTAGTTTTAGACTTTAATTATAACTGATTAAAGTCGATGCGATCTGATAAAATTAAAAATTTTGTGGTGTATTATGAGAAAAAGGCAGAAAAGTTTGAGCAGTGCTTGACCATGGATGTTTTGTGTGGAATGACACGTGCCAGTTACAATGGGTTCTGGCCGGGAAACTATTACTCGGCGAGTCTCAGGTCCGTAGTGTGAACCACGCGTGACGTATTTTCTTCTTTCTTTTTCTTTTTTCAGCAAGTTCTTCTTTCCTTTTTAAAAATAAAGAAAAATGCTCCTTCAAAAAAAAAAAAACAGTAAAATGAGATTTTATTAGAATTTCTACGCAACTCTGAAAGATTTAATCACATTAAAATCATATAAGAGAACTATAAAATCAATTTAATTTAATAAAATCTAATAATTTAGAACTGTGCAAATCTATTACTAAGATATATTTTTTTTCTTTTACTACATAACAAAATTCTCTGTAGTTTTAAAATTGCTTATTATTGATGAGAATATCCTATCACAGAATTTTTACTGTTTTTTTTTGTTTTGTTCTCTTTTAATCTTTATCTTCCCTAAAGCCTTCTATATTCTAATTGGTTTGTGACATTATATTTTTGGTTCATAGATTAGAATCATGAGATTATAATTATTTTTAATTTATGTATATTTTTTATGAGAAAAAATATTGTAACGAATCACGAATTATAATTCGAATCATGGTACAAATTTCCCGACCAAATAACTCAACATTTGTTAACGTTAGCCACGTGTAGGTGAGTATAAATATTTCCTCCCAAGTGTCAAACCAGCCAGAGACATCTGTACTTGCCATGTCAACGGTATGATGCTGGAATAGGAGTGACGAGTCAATTCTGTACTACCCTTGGTAATGCAAGACACACAAAAAAGTTCGACGTACTTGCAAAGGAAGGAAATAAATGGGGATAGAACATAGAACGAAAAGGGGAACAAATACATTTGACAGTAGCTTTTTTTCTTTTTTTTTTATTGGATTGTAATGAAAGCAGAAAATATGACAACTTTGGTAACAGTTTATTCCAAAATAAAAACTTTGGTAATGAATCTAGTTTTTTAATCAAATGTAATCTTGAAAAAGAAAAGTTTTTTAAGCAAAAAAAAAAAAAAAAAGATAAGTCTCTCTCTCTCTCTCTCTCTCTTTCTCTCTCTCTCTCTCAAATGGCAACTTATTTTTTCCTAAAAAAAGTTTTTCAATCTTTATAATTTGAAGATATTGGCTTTAAATTCTTTCTATTTCTTCTTGTTGTTGTTGTTGTTTTTTTGAAAATGATAACTTCTTTAAAAAAAAAAGAAAAGAAAAGCTTTTAGTGATAACTTATTTTCTCTGGGGGAAAAAAAAAAGTGTCAGTAAATGAAGATCTCGGCATTAAATTGCTTCTCTTTCTCCCTTTCGTTTCAAAAGTGAAGTTCGTGGCATTCAATATCACTTCTCTTCTTCTTTTTCAATGGTAACATCTTCTTAGAAAGTCTTCATAATGTAACATTTTTCTTTTAAAAAATATATTCACACTTTCAGTCAATATTTGTTGTAGGGTGGGTTCATGAGAAGACGCTTATAGGACACAGCGGCTGTGGTTGAGAGATAATGAGCTGCCATGAGATTGATGTCACAGTGGCAGAGATTGTTTACGAGGAGGAATTTCATTTTTTTTAAATATAAACTATTTTAGATTATTGAATTAGAGTTAATTAAAAAAAAGGCTAAAAAAAGATATTATGTACTAAAAAAGATCTCAAGTTGGACGATATTTCTAAAATATAAGGTATACCATTTTTAATATTTTTAGAATAAAGAGCTACCTTCATCATAATAATAATAATAATAAATTACATAAAGTATCAAGGTGATACATATACAAATATTCTTTTTTTTTTTTTTAAATGTTTGAGGATAGTTTCCAAATTTCATAAACACACGATACAAATAGTTTAGAGGCCATCCAAAGCATTGGCACTTTCCTACTTTTATTAGCACGTCTTAATCATCATTTGATTGCAATTTCAAAAACGTGTTCAATGTGATGCATATATACTTGGGTCCAAATTGCATCTACAAGTTGATTAGCGAAAATTACATCTACTAGTTTATCAGAGACACCATAATTGCGCCAAAGCTTTTCAAGTTTTGACGATGACTATATATGGAGAGATAAGTGTACGGGAGATGCTAGAAATTCGGACAAATTACTTTCCAATGTTAATCATGTTGGGAAACATTTGCATGTGAAGATGAGGAATCCTCCAAGTTTTAGCGAATACAAATTTTTGCGTGTGTTCTAAGAAAGTAAGATATGTTTCCTTTTCTTTCTTTCTTTCTTTTTGCCGGAAGAAAAATATAAATAGTATGATTTTCTATGTACGAAATAAACTGAAGTTCGAATCAGGAATCTTGAGAACAAGAAAAAAGAACAAGAAAAATTACTCATCCTCGTCACTTGATGATAAAACGTCCTTTCGAAGTTTCTGAATATGCCGAGAACAAAATGAATGAAAGTGGTAAAAAGTGGTAAATTGTGGGGATATAAATTTAATCTCTTGTTAATCGTTTGACTGAAATTAACATGATAGCCAAAAAAAAAAAAAGGTAGTAACTGTGAATGACACAATTGCCTCAATATTACTTAAATGAAAAGAGAAATACTAGCATCACTCTTTCTGTCACTTTTCGCATTCACTTTTTGACATGTCAACTCCACTAACATGATATATTATTATTTAAATAAAATAAGATAGTCGAGTACATGTGTCAAACAGTGAATGCAGAGAGAGATCAGAGAATAATAGAAAAAGTGATGCTAACATTTCTCAAAGAAAGAAAAAAATGAAAGTCATGTATATCTCAGCAATTACGTGATCACAGACATGTGATGAGCATGGAAATTTATTAAGAAAATGGATTCATAGGAGTATACGCGGCTGTATCAACTCTTTATTCTTTATGCGTGTTCTCACTTACAAATTACAATAAACTATTGAGTTAAAGAATCAGCACAAGAAACCTAGCTATTAATATATATATTGTATTTTTAAAAAACAAAAGTCTTAATATATATAATTGTGTACTTTGAGCTAACTATACAATATGATAATGGTCGCTTTAGTATATATCTTGATTCTTGAAGCCATTTATAATATGAAATGAAAGCTAGAGAGAATCAGAAAAATACTGGTTGTTCTCCAAATTTATAAAATGAATCTTATGTCAGTTGTCCATACCTAGATCATAAGAATCCATAATATTGCTCGCCATTTGGCATAACTTATTATTATATGAGATACGGAAATCTAAATTTTTAACAGAAATATCTGCTTTCATGTCGAGAGATGTATTTCTATAACGACAAAACGTACAAAATTTGTTCTTTTTTTTTTGTGGTAAATTACGTACAAAATTTGATGATTAATTATCAAGGAGTCCCTTGAAGGAAAATGATACAACAAGGACATGATAGATAAAACAAGTGATTGCCGAATATTGCTGGAATACCATATATATACTATATATTTATGGATGTGATCTTAATGGTTATTTTATTATTGTTTTAACTGATCTGATGATTGTAATAAATTGAGTAGTTAAACAAAAAAATTCATAACAATTAATAAAATTAAATTTTTATCATGCAACTAATCACATCGTCAAATTTTTATATTTAATAGATAATTACCGATAAAAATATAATCATTGAAAACTCAAGAGATCATTTGTTCTTAAGAAAAGTGGGGGAAAAAGAAGGTATATATTGGTAGCCTAATTTGATATGTACTATTACTCCATATATCTTCACTGTAAAATTAACCATATTTATTCAAACCTTACAACACGGTCAACAAAAACCTAATTTGGAATTGATAGGATGAATAATATTCCTCAATAAGATAATGTCGAATCTTCAATAATTTGTTTTTCCTGTGAATGAGGCTAATTCTGATGATTAAAACTTTAAATTAACCGCCAAAAGGGCAATTAGCAGAATTTTTCTTTTATTTCATTTTGCCTGGGAAAGTGCCAACTTAAAGAGCGAGTTAATATTTTGAATAGTTGATGAAATCATTTGGCACGAGAATTCAAACCATGCTATAGATTATGTTGCAATTAATGACATAAATATTTTTTTCCCACTTAATCTCTCTCATGCACTCGGGGACCGTTTCTACTCATCCAGGCTCAATTATATCAAGCATGCCACAGAGCCCCCCTTTTTTTTTTTATAAATTATACATCCATATTCCGATGATTCTTCTTAAGTTTTACCTAATATATATTATATTATATTATATATCTAGGTCTAGGAAATGAGATCACTACAAAACCTTTAGTTTAGTTATTTAATCAAATTTGGTGTCTACAACTACAAGATCTTTCATATCTTTGAAATTAGGAAAAGGATGTCTAGCTAATTCGTCTCATTATATTTGCCAAGATTCCTAGACGACCAACTGATCATACACATGCCTATGTATAATAACCTATCTATGTCTATCTATGGTTCTCATCCATCTTTGTTTATTTTCATATAAGCTTCACGGGCCATGCGTATAGGAAGAAAATATTAGAGGGATCTTAATTAACAGAATAATTAAATCTAAATCAAATCAAGAATTTGTTTGATTCGTGTAGACAGCACTTAAACAATACACATGAATAAATCCGAAAAGGAGACGAATCAGCATTCATGTCGCGGTAAGGACATTCGAAATCACCCTCAAAATTAGGCAAGAAAACAAGTTTTTTGACACATATTTGTCTCAATAAGGACATTCGCAATCACCTCAAAATTAGGCAAGGAAACAAGTTTATTTGACTTGTGTTTTGTCTCTTACTTTTGCAAAGTTAACAAGTCCATCTCCTGTTTTGAAGTCAATAGTCTTCGGCGTTTAAAAGAATATAAAATATAAAAGTAATGTTTGGGGTGGGTCACGGTCAATTTTGAAAAACATTATAATACTTAGAACTTAAAAGACCGAAAGTGGACCTAATTCCTTAATTAGTCCAATATTTGTGGGGGTAAAGACCCTGTAATTTAGGGATCGGGATGTGTGGCTAACTTTTCTGCTTTAGAACAAAGGTAGTAGTTCAAACTTAAAGCGTACATTTTTTTTTCTTTAATTATAATATATATTATATATATAAAATCTCGGAGATTTGACCAGAAAAATGTTGTCTGGTACGTTCTAGGATTAGTCAATGTCGGCATGGTTTGGTCATAAGACGTGGTCATGACCAAACTACTCTTGATCACAAGATAATCTTTTGCTTCAAAATTAAAGACCGCGTGAAACGATAGTAGTAGTACTACTGCACGCAGGTCTGCACCACACGACAACGCCAATATACTATGGCCTCGTTCGTTTCACCGATTCGAGTTTTTAGTTTTAAATTTCTATAGTAAAAAGTTCTTAAAAAATGTCACCTCTAATTTTTTCTGCTACAGTAAAAAGTTCTAAAAAAATATCACATCTCAACTCAAATTGAAAATTTAAATCCGCGAATAACGATGCCTATAGAATAAGCAGTTTTTCCCGCTTTTTTTTAAAAGAATATATTAAGCTATTAGATAATGAAAAAAAAAAAAAAAAAAAACAATATCAGACACACTTGATGAAATTTGTTAATTATTTAACGGTTCAAAATCATTAAATTGCTGCATGGAATATATGTTGTCTGCCGTACGTAGTACTATTGATCATGTCAGATAATTAGATGCTGATAAATAGTCACTGCTGGAAAGCTAAAGATATCAGCATCCATAGATTTGTTGGTCGCTTATTGATCGGATGAGTGTACGTATAATCGATCTATCGCGCGTTTATTTCCTATTTATCATATGAATTTTTGTTTGTTTGTTTGTTTGTCTTTGTTTTTGTTTTTTTGTTTGAAAATCTATGAATAATGTAATTTGTTTGTTAGGTTTTGAGAGTCGATTGCACATAGGCCATTTAGGTTTTGTCTTAAGTGTAAATTGATGACCATTGATGTGAAAAAGGCTTTTAAAAGTGATTCCATTTAACTTAAAACGATAGGGTGATAAGATAAAGAAAAAAGAAAAAGTCTTTTCAAAAGATAGTACTACGTCTGGTCTGCATTTTGGTGCATGCATGTGGACATCATCGATCGCTACTGGACTTGATCCTATCCGCATGTGATATATTCATGTTAGAACTTTGTGAACAGCGTATATTAATTAAGAGTTAAAGTCATAACCTGACGTAATAATTATATTTTGCTCATGTTAAACGAGCACACATAACAAAATATATTCCCGTGATATATATACCAATCATTTACGTAGTGCTTATCCTAGCCCCTCTAACAGAGGGTTTGGAATCCATTCTACATTCACGGGAGTTTAGTAACGATCAACAAGTGACAAATACAAGCCTCTCGTTCATTTCGCTCGTAAAAGTTAAGAACTTGAGTTAAAGAGTCAATTCACGTGCGAGTAAATATTATAATAAAAAAATAAAATTTAAATTTTTATAAAAAAATATTATAATAAAAATATGAGTTATAATTCGAACTAACGAAACGAAAAAAGTCACAGTAACAAATACAATTAAGTCGAAGAATGCAAAAAAGCCACATGCATCAGATGCGATAATTATGTAGTGTCCTAATTACTATAGATAGGTTCAGGACTTAAATATATATAGAATATAACTGACAATTTAGGGCCAGAGTAGTACTGGAGATCCTAGAGCGTTTGGGACCTATTCAACTTTTGTGTTTCATAGTTAATTTTATTATGTCAGGACATTTAAAAAATTAAAGATCTTTTTAACTGACTTTTCTATATTTTAGTGTTAGAATCTATTATACGAGTAACATGATTGGTTTGTCAGAGGTTATTTGAGATATCAAAAATTAAATATGTGATGTCGATGCATTGAATGAATTATGAGTGATGTAAATTGCTTGAAGGGGAGTATAAATCTCAATATTTCATGAAGGGATTGATTCAATATCCGCGGAAATAATTCCTAACTAAAAATCCAAATTGGTTGGGCTTTTCCCTTTTCCTCTCCTAACAGTTTTATATAGCGGAAATGAGACAAATACATCTTAGATCTCAATTTTTATTATTTTTTCTTGATTAATAATATTTTTAATCAACTAATTATATTAATTAAAAAAGTATTAATAAAAAATAAGAGATAAAAATTTAAATTTATACATTATAGAAGTAAGTTCAATAATTTTCTTTTTGATTATAATTAGACAATATAACATTCTAACCAAACCCTATCGCAGCAGCTTTAACCTTCTGCATGGCTAGGGGCTTAATTTGCGAGGACCCATATAAAATATTAGTACTTTATGACACTGAAACAAGAAAGGACATTATTTTCATATCAGCATCCAATGCGTGGTGTGTGTGTTTATCTATTATGTAATATTTCAGATGTTGGAATGAACGACATGGTCGATCGTTCGTCGGGATTTTTTTTTTTCACTTAAAATATATAACGAAAACAGTTAAAAAAATTGTCTCATTCTCTGCGTGTTGTCAATTCTCTAAATCCCGTGAACACTTCAAATGAATGTCAATTATATGGTACTATGTGCAGTGTGGAGCAACAAAGCGTACGAGGATGATCTTATATATTTTGTGGTTAATTTTGATTGCAAATTACGTGCTACATAGAATGAAATAGTCTTGGAGTAGGAAAAGCATTTTACATAATTGGATTCAGCGCCAAGTGATTTTGCAAATTAATATGGACGGGGCGTTCTTTTCATAGGTTTGAATTTGTAGTATTGTTAATATTAGCTAGCATTTCCTAACTCGATTTTGAATTTCCTGTAGCAACTAGATAAAATCAAATTCAAACTTTTCACCTTTGTCTGCTTGCAACTATGGAGGGACAAATTAGAACTGTCATTCAAAAGAAATCTATGGGTCCTGGCCGGTGGTTTTGAGAACATGTTACGCAGTACTAGCCGATTGTTCGTGCCATCTAGTACTGATACCCCAAAGTTTAGAACCTATATATATATACACACACGCATATAACTACATACATATACACACATATAACTACATACATATATACATATATATATATATATGAATAGACACTTATACCGAACAACTTGTAGATATTTGAGACAAAAAAGAAATTAACAATATGTGTAGAGATCTTTCTTGTATTGGTGGGTTGGGGAACAAAATATTATTATTGAAAGAACAGTGTAGCTACTAGCTAGTTGTGAGGCAAAGTCATCATGTAAAAGTAAACGATCAAGGGAAGAATATTCCCAAAAAGAAAGAAAGAAAGTGCGAGAAGTGTAAGTGCATGATTCAAGCAATATTGATCAAATAATGGGTTGGTGGGTCTTACACGCGTGTTTGTACATACTGCTAATTGGGTCCTCCATGCTTTACGAGCTTCTGGCTTTTGCTCAGTTTTGCCATTTTGTGCAAATACGAATGGATTCCCACAGTTCTCCCATGTGAACCCCTTTGGGACTTATATGTCCCATTTCTTGCCAGGACCACTTCATTATGTCTCCTTTCACAAGATCATCAGCCTCACTCCTCTTGCTTATATATATATATATATATATATATATACACACACACACACATATATTTTCACTCTATGTATATATACCTATATTAATTAAGCCAGCTAGCTATTATATATAAATATATACATATATATATGTATGTATATATGACCAGTTCAACTTTAACCAACCCCACATTCCCAAACGGCCATGAGAAAAGTGCTAGCTGCTGACCTTCTAGGCATGCATATAGTATGCCTTTAGAGTCTAGAGATCTCCCCATTGCCACGCCTGCGTAACTCATTGCACTATTTTGAAAACGAAGTTTCATGATACTTTGGTTTTTCTAAATAAAGTGGGCATCAATGGTGTTCTTAAAGACATTCTAATCGCTGTACCACTCTATTCGCGGTGAGTTTCGTGATACTTGACTGATCATAAGAACATGTGATACATGCGTGCATATGCATGTATACTTGCATTTTTTTCTTCTTTCGAGAATAATATACTTACATATTTTATATACACACTTTTTCATGACTGTCAAGACGTACATTACATTATATGTGATTCTTCAATCCTACCCTTCTATCCCAGCGACCCTCAGACTATCTTTTCCTCGAAACAAGTTTGGAATCATTTTTTTTTTTTTTTTTGGGGAGTTAAGTTCTTCTGCAATTTGTAAGGACTATACATATTGGCGGTGATTGGAAGCAGAAGATATAGTCCTTCAAGGAAAAGAGCATAAAATCAATAAGAACCGGGGACCATTTTTCTAGCTCACCTAAACATACAATATTGAATTTCAAATCATTTGGGTTCCAGTAGTGTTATTATCACGACTTCACATCAGAAAATTACCAACACACAAAATTAACAATAACAAAAAAAAAGAAAAAAGAAAAAAGCAAAAGTTTTTCAACCAGATACTTGATTATATTAATGTATAATAACATCACAAACTAAATTATTATTTTTTTTTTTTAGTACACTTGTGTTGAGCATATGAAAAACAAAACCAAACTATTGGACTTTGTTTTGACAAATTTGACAGTACTGCTAACCTAGCTCCATAATTAGCCTCTGAATTCAACTTGGGAAACACACTCTCAAGTCTCAACATAAACTAACACATAGCATATATAAACGACATAATTTTGGTCATTAAATTAATCTAATATTAATATTAATTACCGATGACAAACACATCTATAGTGGTATGCGCTATTGATTGGGTCGTTTCCTTCAACTGGGACTTGTTCAGCTCTGCATTTGTATCTGCATCCTCTACATTCATTGTAAGTGCATGTTGGCGCTGTGGATCCGATCATCATTCGCCGAATTTTCTTCATGAGTACTTCTTTGTTTATACCACCCTATAGTCTCAAAATGTTTTTTTTTTTTTTTCATAATAAGAGAAAAATATAAATCTAATTTGAAGGGCATTTGCACACATTTTATATCTAGTGATGTGAATTTGCTGGTAATATAACTTACCTGAAAAAGTGATTCTTTTTGAGTTGGAGAGAAAATATCAGAGATCCTTTCACGGTAAGGAAGTGCTACTTGACTTCTGGATTCTGCAAAAAATCAAAAAGATTTGTGTAGTTATAATAATGAGCACATCACAATGCTCTAGCTATATATGAATGGTGATGATTTAAAAAAAAAAAAAAAAAAATTATAATGGTACTACAATTTGGAAATTTTTAGAGAACCTGAATGCATAATTGAATGATGTATATGGAAATTCATTACCAAAGGGCATACTTCAATATAGTTTTTTCAACAAAATCAATCAACAATATTTCAAAATTCAGATTAGGAAGATGAAAAAACAAATGTTGAAAGGCCAAAAAGGGTAAGAGGGGAAAAAAGTCAATAAAGGAGTAATGTATGTAGTAGTTTAGTTACACATACAATGAATTTTTAAATACAGTTCTATAGTACAAAATTTTGATAGTGAAAAAGGGTGAGAGAACAAAAACAAGCAAGAAGAGGGGAAAATATGTATGTATGTATATACACATGACTAATGAATAACTATGACCTTGTATGGCACATGCTGCAAAAAAGAAGTTGAGTAGTATTAAGAGGGATGCTAGTATTTTAGGCTTGGCTTTGGCCATTGTTTTGGGGGAAAGGTAAGGAAGTGAACAATGTTTGAATGAGTGAGGAATTTGAAAATGTGGTGAAAATAATAGGAGAAGGATAAGACTTGAGAGAGAAGAGGAGAGGACAAGAAGAGAAAAGGGAGAGATTTTCTAGTTGTTGTGGTCAGCCAGTGACCTCAAAAAGATTAGACAGGCAAAGAGAAAAAAAACAAAAAAACAAAAACAACACTCTGCCGTTTGGGACTGGCAATATCTGCAGTGACACCAGAGGAGTACACCTACAAGGTTCCATTCGACAGATCGCCTCTTGTGGTTAACCCGTGGGATTGCCTGCCTGGAATCTTTTCTAGCTGAAATGACCAAACCGTCTCCTATTCAATAAATATCATCCTTGTTTTATGTTATATTTTAGAGGGGCAATAAAGGAATCTTGATTTTTCTTTTCCTTTTCCCTATCCCCTTGATGAGTAACAATGCCGAAGTCATGAATTTTTTTAGTGGAGGCACTATGAAAAAAATTGGAGATAGTGTTTTATCAACGTAGATATAGATATATAAATCATTTTTTTTTAGTGGGAGAATAGCTATAGTTTTCTTGTAAATAAAAGTCACGACAACATATTAATTATTCAGTACAGCTACAATTATAATTTTTCTTATAAAATATGACCATATCTAAAATTTTTTTAAGAATAAACATTCAATTTTTAAAAATTGAGTGTGGGTGAGTAAGTTAAGCCATAATGTCTACCCCACCGAAAGCAGTCTTGAACAAATATGGAAAGCATGCATACATTAAAGGAAAAAGAAAAGAAAAATAAATATTTGATCATACTGTGAAAACTGAAAACCATTCATTTTTAAATAGTTTGTTGATTTTTTTTTTTTTAGAAAAGTACAATGTAGTTGCAATTCAGAAAGGAAAAAGTTGTTCAGCAGCACTGATCCAACCGTGTTGTTAGAATATAGTTGTCGGGTTTTCATTGAAGTTGCATACTCTTATTATTGATATCTTTTGGGTTACCACAGCAGAAGATGAAGTCAATCATTCATTCAGCAAACGATAAAAAAGAAGAAGTCAATCATGCTTTGTCACAATTGGGCCGTATAGCTTTGTTCATTCAAAACTATGAAGACTCAGAAATTAAAAATTCATCCAATATATATATATATATATAATTGATCAACAGAGAAAAAAAAACAACAAAATGTAGGAGAATTATACGGTATGATATGAGAAAACATTCTACCTTTGAATTTCTATTTTAAAGCGTTAATCTGTATCATAAACTATCGGCTTTACATATTTTTAATTTTGATTTGATTTAAAAAGCTCCTAAAATGTAACTCCATTCCTCGTTTGATTTCGTACTTTATTGATTATAGGTACTACCACATGTAGACTACTAGTTCATGGACACAACTGAATCTGAAAGCAAGCATGTGATATGCTGCCATTACCATTATATGCATGTATAGCATCTTAGGGTCACTAGGAGTCTAGGTATGACTACTTCTCTTGTGTCCTCCTGCTATATAAAATCCCAACCAAAATCTTTTTTGAATACTGATGATTTATACCAGTCTATGTTACGTAGAATACTGAAATAATACGGCACTCAATGGACTACTGTTCCTAAGTAGAACTAATAAACAATTCTATCTTTTACACCATCAAATGCTTTGGATTGATAGTTATTGTAAATTTTTTGGTATACACAAGCAGAGAGATACAAACGTAATTCCACCTGGCAGATTTATAAGGAAGAGAAAATACATTGGATCTTATAAAGTTATAACATTTGTTGACTGGGAGAGAATTCGTGTCACTTATAAGTTAGTTGCATTCCTCACTCCAAGCCGATGTGGGGATAATTATTGTAATTAGTTGCATAGACAAGAGAACTATTCAGAAAATTTGCTGTTTCTTTGTGCAGTTCTGATGATATCCCAGAAATTTTCTGTTCTTTCATATTTATCCTTACCCCTTAATCTCTAGGCTACAAACTTAAACAGTCAATATAATGAAAATACTTTTCCAAGACCTTCACTCGTGGCCCGTAGAAGACAACAAGAAGATGACAAAAATACAATATTGGGATCTTACTTTTTAACAACGAGATGATTTTGTTGGTGGAATCCAAGCTAGGTCTTCACTACAAGACAATTGATATGAATTCTTCAATTTATACAATATTGTTTTCTTTTTAAAATTGTCGTTTTATTTTTATGTCATCGTGATTTTTATTGCTGCATTACGGTTTTTTGACGTTCCAAATTTTATTGTTGTTTTATTTGTTATTTTTCCCCTTGTCGTTGTCGCGTTTATTTCATTATCTTTTTGTCGTTGCCGCAGCTCTTGTCCTTCGTCATTTTTTGCTTTTTGGTTCTCTCCTGCTTCGTTGTCGTTTTCTGGTTTTTTTGCTGATCGTTGTCGTTTCCTCGTTTATACTTTCTTGTTTTCCAGTTCTTTGTCGTTTGATATTGATTGTTGTTCTTAATCCTTGGTCTTTTGCCAGTTAATTTTTGTTGTTCTTTTCTATTTTCGTTGTAGTTTGTTGTATTCCAGGCTTTTTTGTCGGCTGTAATTGATGTTTAGTTGTCTACGCCTCCAGTAATGTTTCGGTCTTCTGATTGTCAAATGGCGTTTCACAAACTAAAAGAGAGCAATATCAAGCAAAACAATGCTCAAAGTGCTTGAATTAGATAAACCATTCGTTTTTATCTATTGTCATTGCAACATTTTTTTTTTTTTTTTTTTTTTTGCGGTTGTCTATTTTTTATGTCGTTCGTTGGTCTCCAGAGTTGAAATTTTCTGGTCATTTTCAATTGTTTTGTCGTTGCAGCATATTTTTGTTTTCTTTCTTGGTTGTCGTTCTTTGTTTGGTTTTATCCATATTTTTGCTCTTTTCTATTTGTTTCTCGCCTTTTTTTTTGTTGCCAACTTTAGTTGTCGTTTTCTATTTAGTTATCATTTATTGTTGCCAGTTTTTGTCGTTTATAAATTTTGTTGTTATACATTTGTATCACGTTGTTTTAGAAATATAACAAAATATTTATAATATTTAAAAAATTACATAGTAATTATTGTAACGATGTCAACATTTTTATACTTTATAATTGTATTATATAGTAATTATTTCAATGATATTAAATTTATTTTTTTTTAAAACTATTCTGAAAAGTTTACTACATAATAATTTCACTATTGATTGCTCAAAAAAAATCACTATTGAGATTTTGCTATAAAGCAAATTTTAAAAATACACCTGGAGTCCTCTTTTATTTTTATCCTTTAACATTAACTTATATATTTTTGCCTTTTAGATTACAACTAGTCAAGAGGACTAGGCAAAGTTTTTTAAAAAGGATATTTTAAGGGAAATTATAGGAAATAGGTCAAGATTTAAAAGTTATGAAAGTAAATAGTCAATTTACCAGCTTATAGAAATTAATAGGCCATTTTATATTTTTAATTTATCATTTTCTTAATTTACCCTTTTCTTTTACTTTAAACTTTTTATTTACCATCACAATTTACAGCCTTTTCATTATAAGGTTCTAAGTGAAGTAAACTTGGTAAATCATGAATTTACCACGTAAATCATGGGTTTACCATTAAAGTTGATAATTGTTTCCTTATAAGGTTCCAAGTCAAGTTATCTAGGTAAATCTTAGATTTACCACGTAAATCCTGAATTTACCATTAAAGTTTATTATCTTTTCCTTATAAGGTTCTAAGTGAAGTTATTTTGATAAATCCTGAATTTACTAAATAAATTCTAGGTTTACCGTCACAATTTACAACATTTTTATTATAAGGCTTCAAGTGAAGTTATCTTAATAAATCTTGAATTTACCAAGTAAATTCTAGGTTTACCGTCACAATTTACAACATTTTTATTATAAGGCTTCAAGTAAAGTTATCTTAATAAATCATGAATTTACCACATAAATCCTGAATTTACCAAGTAAAGAGAGCAAAGAGAAAGACAAGTATAACAAAGAGTAGGATGAGTATGACAAAGAGTAGGATTTTGACTGTGCCATTCTCATCTAAGGGTATTTTTGAAAATTCATGTGGTTATAAATCCTCAAATTGGCCTATTAATTTTAATTTCTCTTAAATCTTGACATATTTCTCTCTTTTTTCCTATTTTTAATAAGTCAGCTATTTAAAAAGGTAGAATCTATGGCCATGTTTAGAGTTGGTTTTGTTTTTTTTTTTTTTTTACGTTTTTTGAGAAAAAAAAAATGAAAATGAGAGAGAAACGGCGTTTGGCATAATTAAAGACAAAAAACGGAAATGAAAACGATTTTTTGGTTTAGTGTAAAATAGGAGAGAAATAAAAAATTACTTTTAGTCATTTTTTATTTTTTGTTTCTATTTTCTCCTCTCTCAAGCACAGAAAGAGAGAAAAAGACATTAATAGATTTTTTTTATACTAAAAATAATCTCTTAATAAAACTATTAAACGCATTTTTAAAAATAATTTCTATCCGAAATTGAAAATATTTTCATTTTTATTTTCTTATAAAAAATAAAATTATTTTAGAACGAGATCCAAACGCATCCTATAACTTTTTTTTTACTATATGTCTCAAAAGCCGAGCAAAACCGATCAACCGAGAATTGCTCAGTTTTTCTTTTTATAGTTACCAACCCAACAAGGAACCTTCAGGCTTAAGTAGTTGGTTTTTTTTTTTTTTTTCTTGACATTTCGTTGAACTTGATGTAAGTACTAAATACTAACCAACATTTTGGAAAACAGTTAGCCCCCAAAGAACTCCCGCGAATACCCAACTTTTGAAGAATACCAAACCTTGCCTCCCACACCTCTTTCTTCCTCTCTCCCTCTCTTTCTCCTCTTCTCTATCTCTCCTGAGCTGCACCAAGTCAAAACCATGAAACAATCCCTTTCCCTTCACTCTCAACCTCTCCATCCTTGGAAGTTTCCTTCACAAGCAAGGAATCTCTCTCTCTCTTCTATATTACCCCCACAATGTCCCCATCATTCCCCAACTCAATTCTCTCCTTCAAACCCCATTATCTTCCTCTGTTTCAACCCTCTCCAAAACCATGTCGGAACAAGCCAAAGCCAAACACGCCGCCCCCGCTGCCACCGCCACCAAAGCCGCCACGCCTGCTATTCCTTTCGAGTACTCGAACCGGGTGATCTTGAAAGCGGTCCTCGAATCCGGCGATGGAGGCCTGGGATTGGTCGGCCGGAGATTTGTGATCGGCGGGTGGGTGAAGTCTTCTAAAGAGGTCAGGAAAGAGTCTGTTGCGCCATCAAAAGTTGATGTTGTGGCTAGAGAAACGGATCAGAGCCTGGACGTTTCTTGCTCAGAGATTCTTCAATCTCGAATACCATTTATTCGATCAATCATCAAAATCCTGGGAGGGAGCAATTACTCTGTTCGTGAAAAGCTGGAGCCGGTCATAGCTCCTCCTAGGCCACCACCTCCTTCTGTTGCTTTTCTGCAAGTTAGTGATGGTTCTTGTGCTTCAAGTCTTCAGGTAATAAAATCAAAAAATAGCTTCTCATTTTTTCACGAGAACCCTCTGCATGGAATACTTGTCCACGTTCATAATAAAATCATCCATCGTTTGTTCATTGTTGTGTGCCCATTTTCATATCGCATCTGGTTTTTCCCTGCAAAAAACTTTTAAAATCTCCTCACAATAGAACATGTGGAAATAAGAGGTGTAATATGACATTTATTTTGTGTAACAATGACTTTAAAAAGGTGTATTTTTTTGTGATAATTTTGTTGTTTTACTTTTTTACAAAATTAGCCATTTATAATCTTCTATGTATACATATTACATGTAGGACCAATCTTTTGTAAAGGTTACGTGTACATATATAAGGGTTGATTTTTCAGTGTCGTGAGAAAATTCTCATTTTCCCACCAAAAATAAAAAAATCAAAGAATTTGGATTTTGTGTTCTTTTTACCCTACAAAGAGATATTTTTAGAGGGATTAGTTACAGTAATGTTCACTTTGGGTATTTCAAGACTAGAGATTTGGTCAAAAATCTATGAAGATTATCATCCTTTAAATGTTAGAATGACTCACATTCTGATTGGTACTACATTTCTCTCAGGTTGTTGTGGACTCCTCTATAGCAATCCCAGGCCACATTCTACCAACCGGAACTTGTATAGTAGCAGAAGGTGAACTAAAGCAACCGTCAGTCGAAGGAAAACATGTCATTGAACTTAAAGTGGAGAAAGTTCTTCACATTGGAAGAGTGGAACCTGATAAGTATCCCTTATCAAAGAAGCGTCTACCATTGAACTTGTTAAGGGATTGTCCCCACTTTCGACCTCGGACAACCACAGTAAAATTCTCTCTCTTTCTCAACCTTAGAAGATTGTATTCTTTGTAATTCATGATCTAAATATTGCCCTTTTATTTTATGTTATTTTTGGTAGGTGGCTTCTGTTATGCGAATAAGAAGCGCGCTTACTTTCGCAGCTCACACTTTCTCTCAAAACCGTGGCTTTCTCTGTGTGCAAGTACCTGTTATAACAACCACAGACTCCGAAGGATTCAGCAAAACGTTTAAGGTCACGACTGTTTTGGAAGATGAAGAGGTTGTTAGTCTTGAAGTTGTTAAGGCTGCTATGAGGGAGAAGAAAAAGATAGTTGAGGATCTCAAAAGGACAGACAGCAATCAAGAAGCACTCGATGTTGCAATACAGGATCTAGAGAAAACGACCGATCTAGCTTCGCAGTTGGAAGCGAGAGAGAAGCATTCTAAGTCAAAGAGTTCTTCTATAAAAGCTGATAAAAAACCTCAAGAGTTCTTCTCTCGCCAAGCTCATTTAACTGTTTCTGGTCGCTTACATTTGGAGAGCTATGCATGTTCTCTAGGAAATGTGTATGCTTTTGGACCCAGATTCAGTGCAAGTAAAGTAGAGTCTCCGAAGCACATCGCAGAAATGTGGACGGTTGAGATTGAAATGGCGTTTTCACAGTTAGAGGTATAAGAATAAGGCTTCTTGCATTTTGCTATTTATTTTGGTCACTTCATATCTATCTTTCAATTGTGCGTGTCATATATTAGTGGTAGTACTTTAGCTTACTAGAAACTTTGTGATGTTTTATGGAGTTTTCAGGATGCCATGAAATGTGCAGAAGACTTTTTCAAGTTCCTCTGCAAATGGGTCTTGGAAAAATGCTCTTCAGACATGCAATTTGTCCTAAAGCGAATTGACCGAACTATTATTGATCGTCTTCAGTCAGTGATATCAATTTCATTTGAAAGAATCTCCTATACCGAAGCACTAGATGCTCTTAAGAAGGCAAGTTTCACAAAAACAGCAATTTGACAATGAATCCCGTCTTTGTAAAAAATTGTTGCGTCAGTTAATATCAAAAGTTACACCTACCAATGTGAAATGACTATTAATTTCCGCATGAGTTGGTAACCTGTAATTTCTATCTAATACATGTTTGAAAGTTTACTTGGCAGGTTACAGATAAGAAAGTGGAAACAACACTTGAGTGGGGAACTGCATTAACAGCAGAACATCTAAGGTACTCAACTATTCATAGTGTGGTAGTAATGAAAACATGCTAAAAGAATTCCTTACCTAGTTTTTATGCATTGACAGTTTTTTAGCTGAAGAGATATACAAGAAGGCTGTAGTTGTATACAATTATCCAAAACAAGTTAAGCCATTTTATGTACGCCTGAATGACGATGGACAAACAGTCGCTGCATTTGATTTGGTTGTACCAAAGGTAACCTGAAACTGATTTTCCTTTTCACTCCATAATGAGCTACAAAATCATTACAACAATGGTAACAAAACTGATAAAATTTGTCTGTAGGTTGGGACTTTGATTTCAGGTAGCCAAAATGAGGAGCGCTTCGATATGCTAAGTGCAAGGTAATGTTGCTTAAGTCTTCATTTTCTTGTAAATACAACCAAAGTTTTTCATATTTTAATTGTGGTGTTGTTGCAGGATTAAGGAACTGGGATTGGTAGGAGAAGAGTATGAATGGTACTTGGATCTTCGACGCCACGGAACAGTCAAGCACGCTGGCTTCAGCTTTGGTTTTGATCTTATGGTTCTGTTTGCTACTGGCCTGGCTGATGTGAGAGATGTTATTCCCTTTCCAAGAACTCATGGAAAAATCAGTAACTAATCAAGTTTCTGGAACAAAAATTGAAGATTGTCATATCCTAAACCAGATTTCCTAGTCCATGAGTTGAGGACAAAAATGGGAAATATGTGAACATGTACAGCACCCAAAAAGAGAGAGGGAAAAAAAAATATATCCCACTTGGCACATGTAACTTGTTACACTGAATAATAAGATTGACAGACATGTAAAGTTCCACATTTGTTTTCTTTCCTTACAAAATTGACAGGGTAAGTCACAATAAACTTCAGTAGCGAAAACCACTTTTTTTTTTTTTTTTGAATTGAGGATGGGGGATTCGAAATATAAACCTCAACTTAGAGGTAGGAATGAGAACTTTACCGTTAGGCTATACTTGCAACCACTAATTACTATCCACATTATACGAAGGATACAGAAAACAATTCCGCTAAAACTTCAAAATGCACAAAAAACAGTTAAAAGAAACCAAAGAGTTTGCCCAACACTTTCCTTTGGAAAAACAAACTTATTCAGACCAAAAACTAAACCCACATGGATAACAAAAACCTATGGAATAACCACGAATTTGACTGTTTGATCAGCGGCCAGGGTATTGTTTGAATCAAGAGGGAAGAAGAACGGATAGAGCTCATATCTGACATAACAACTACTATACAAAACCCGGCAACCCTTTCTGTTCTCACAAAAGTTGGGAAAGTTTTCCACTGCAATGGCCACGCACTGAGCGCAATCTAACTTAGACAGGTCTCTCGTGCATTGCACCAAAGCATATAGTGTCGAAAAGGGCGAAAGTCGGGTCTCACCTTTCCCAAGACCATCGTAATTCTTAGCCTCAACAGCTTCTTTTTTAATCTGATCCATCAGAGCCCCAAGTTGTTCATTGAAGGTATCAGGATCATTTACACTCTCAACATTGAAATAGTATATACCAAAAGATGTGTCAACTTGTCCAATGAATCTACTCTTGTTGTTGTACCTTAGAAAGCAGTAATCATACCAAATTCTTGCATCAGATTCGCCAGGACACCGCTTTCGAATCTGCTCAGCAGCGTCTCTGACGCATCTTGAGCAGTCTTCAGTGCTCACATCACCTCTGCATTGAGCCAGGCCATAGACTCGGTCTTTCCCATTACCATTGAAGGCAGTGGCAAAGCCAGTTGAGGGGGTCTTGAGAACCAATTCGGGCAACAAACCGTCGATGTTCGACGATATTTTGCTGCCGTTACTTATTTCAGTGTCTTTGTTACAGAAATTTCCCAAAGGATCTGCAGATTCGGCACTGCAAATGCATAGAGCTAGGAAGAGAAAAAGTTTATGTAACAACTTCATTTTTTTTTCTTTTGTGCTTTAGCTAATTTGCTGTTTAAGCTCATTTGATAAGAAGCTTCATTCACGAGCCTTGTTTTTATCAGCATAAGAAGTGGGCAATCATAGATTAGATTGTCATGGTAATGCGTGTGGGAATGCAATTAGCGGATATTTCTGACTCTGTTGGCTCATCACAACCATAATGAGTGGGGAAAAACAATCATGGAAAGCAAGACTTGGAAGAAACTCTCCTACTCCTGTTTTCTTAGTCAACGCTTTCTGTAACTCATTATCCTAATCTTCTAAGACACAAGGAAAAAACTAGCGAATGCCCACTTATAAGTGCTTAATATATCAATCAATGGAAATGAACGTTAAATATGAGCTATATGGCATTGCATATGTGTAATCTTATCCACCTCCACTAGAATAAGAAATATTCAACGTCATATGCAATAAAATTCCTATAGCATCATACAAATATTCAATGCCATATAGAATATATATGAAAAGAAAAAAAATAATTGAGGGGACAAAAAAACATTTAAATATAGAGCCATTACATATAAAATCACTTGTGTGGACTCATTGTAAATTTGTATCTCTTCAGAGCTGGCTCAAGGGAGCCCCACAACTATCACGTGAGAGTTGCTGTTGAAGAAAATCTTTGAGAATGTTAGTTTGACTTTCTGTGCTTCACTTGTCTCTTTTCTCTTGACTTGGATTGGCGGTCTTTTGATTGCTAGTTCACCAAACTCCCAAAAAAAAAAAAAAAAAAAAAAAACCAAACACGAAAATTATCTTAAAGAATACTGATTTTAACGTTCTAATCTTGATCTCCAAACAATTTTTCACTTTGAAGTTCTCATAACACATGCCTTGAGTTTGAGAGACTTTTAGGTTGCAGTTTTCTTTCCTAGCCAATGAGAGCTTGAGTTAAGGATATATCAATCTAGCTTAAATTGAACCCAACTTAAATTAGTTGGCCGTTTTTGAAGGATAATTTTCATAAATGACCGAAGTTAAAATTGTAAAAATGGCAATTTTCATTAACTTAATGATCAATCATTGATTGACTCAGCGGTCAATTACTAATTGACTAGCGGTCAATCACTGATTGATTGTGATCAATCATAATTGACCGCGGATCAATCACTGATTGATTGTGGTCTATTGATCAATCACTGATTGATTGATGTAAATAAAACGGTTATTTTTATAAAATAAAAAAATTTCAATCATTTATAAAGGAGGTGATTAAAAAAGGCCATTCAACACAATTTTTAATCGTATATAATGTTTCTGAATCACAAAAATGAAAGTTAAAAAGTATATGAAACAAATGATAGTGGATTACAATGACCAATCAAGGGTGCACATTAATTTGTACATGTCTGCATGACTTTATCTCTTTTATCTGTTTGGTTTTTGCACCACATATATTATTGGTGATCCTTATATTGGTCCTACTCTTTTGCCTTGGCACAATTCAATATCTAGAAAAGAGTGAAAGTACATCAGATTTGGATTGATGAAATTATTTTACGGAAAATTTTATAATAAGGTATTATGTTAATTTCACTACTAATGCTATAAGCGAAATTCAGTCCATATTAAATCAATTGTCATGATGAAACTTACATTGTTAAGTAAATGTAGATTTTAAATGCATTTACAGTTCATGATGGTTCAATGCAAGTGTTCTGAATGACGACTTCAGACGACCAGAAAATAAAAGTTCTATCGATAATACTTTACAAATTCAGGCTTCTAAGAAAATAATATTCTTAGCTCCTAATTTTCCTAGAAAAAGAAAAACTAAGTGGATGTTTGGTTCATGGATTCAAAATCATTCTCGGTTTAAGTGTGTTTTTCTGAGAAAAAATATTATAGCGAGTCACGAATTATGATTCGAACCATGACATGAATTCTGATACCAAACATCCCAAATTGAAAGGGAAAAAGATAAAGACGAATATTCAAAATTAGACAATTTCATTCTTTTTCTTGGTCACTAAATGCTATACTAACGAGTAATAAAAAATTTCGATTCCCTTCAAAGCACAAATCAAGAAACATGTTGTTGGCTCAGTTATCATTTATGTTGCAACCAAACTAACACAACATGCCATAATATCCTAATAAATCCCATTAAAATGGCATGCTGCATATTTCAATTCGGAGAACTAATTAGTTTTAAGACTTATAACCTACCCAACCGTATCTATAAGGCTCGTCGACAAATTATATTTTGCATGCCTGAAACTAAAGAAACCACTTTTCTTTTCCTTTCTTTTAAGAAAAAATAGATCATTTATGAAAAAGGTTAATTACATAAACTTTTCACGTACTATCAAAATGCGATTTTCTATCTTGTATCTTTAAGAATGCTGCAGAATGCAGTGCAGGGCTCCCTTATGTTTTGTAACACAATAAAAATTTTCCCCTCTCAAAATTTTTTTTTTTCAAAATAGTAGTATGAAAAAGACAGAAACATGTTTTTTTTCTTTTTTTTTTTTTTCCCCGTTGCTGGGCGTGTGCGGCGTAGTCTAGCAATAAAGAAAGTGGTAGTTCGATAGACTCGTGAACCCGAGTTGCTAGCATTGTGGTCCTTCCGGCGAACAAGCTCTATAAATCAAAAGCGTTTTTTTATTTTATTTTAAAGACCCTTCAAATTTAGGTTGTTAGTTTGGCCACTCTATGTGTAATTGACATGTATTTTTTTTTTTATTTCTTTAGATACACATTAATAAAGTAGTTTTTGCTTGAGAAAAAATTGCAAGTCAAAAGAAGTCTTTTTGACGTGATTTATAGAGGAAAAAAAGGGGCGGCTTTTTGAGGAGTTTATCTGTTATGTTAGGATTATAAAAAAAAAGAATTGTTGATAGTTTTTTATTTTCCATCCTTAAATTTATATTAAAAATTATTTATTTTATATATTTTTAAATTTTAGTATAATTTTAATTAAAAATATGTAATTTAGTGTAATTTTAATTAAATTTAATAATTAAAAATTAATTCTATCAATAGAATCATTGTATCGCAGAAATTTCACTATTTTAAATAAAAATGATATTAAAATGGAGGATTTTTTGGTCCACCTAATATATTAATGAGTTAAATTCTTTTTAAGCGCTAAATCTATAGTACCGGATGAGATTCAGAAAGAAAAAGCTTTTTTTTATTATTTTTCCTCGAGAAACTAAAAAAAAAGCGGCATGAAATCTTAAGTACAGCTTCTCACTCTACGCGTCAAAGAGCAGTGAAGAAAAAATATTCACTAAAAATTCATCAATAACCCGCCAATTACGCAGTCAGTCTGTCTTGCGTCTACACTCCACGCCACTTTCCTCCACTCCAAAGCTAACCCACACACGAAACTCCACATAAAAACGCACTCACGCAATTTCGCATACACAGAGGGCAAATCCCAAGGACTGAAAAACAAGAAAATGGCGGACGGGCAACAAGGAGAGGAGTACTTGTTCAAGATAGTGCTAATAGGCGATTCCGCGGTGGGGAAGTCGAACCTGCTCTCGCGGTTCGCTCGCAACGAGTTCGACCAAAACTCCAAGGCCACAATTGGGGTGGAGTTCCAGACCCAGGTCGTCGACATCGACGGCAAGGAGGTCAAGGCCCAGATCTGGGACACAGCCGGCCAAGAGCGCTTCCGGGCCGTCACTTCTGCATACTATCGCGGCGCTGTCGGTGCCCTCGTCGTTTACGATATCAGTCGGAGGACCACCTTTGACAGCGTCAAGCGCTGGCTCGATGAGCTTACTAGTAAGTTTCTTTTGTATATTTGGGTATTATAAGCATATGGGTCGCTAATAATTTTGTTTGATTGTTGCTTAAAATTACTCAAAGATATGACAGCTATTAGAATCTCTCTTTTTGGGTCCAAATTCTGGGTTGTAGAGAATAATGGAAAGTTTTGAATTAGTGGATGGCTAATTGGTTAATGATGTTGCAGCTCATTGCGATACGACAGTAGCGAGGATGTTGGTGGGGAACAAATGTGATTTGGAGAACATAAGAGACGTGAGTGTGGAAGAAGGCAAGAGCCTCGCCGAAGAAGAAGGATTGTTTTTTATGGAGACATCCGCGCTTGAATCTACTAATGTCCAAACGGCTTTTGAGATGGTCATTAGGGAGATTTTCAATAATATCAGTAGGAAAGTCTTGAATTCTGAATCTTATAAGGCTGAGTTGTCAGTCGACCGTGTGAGCCTGGTTAAAAATGGAACAGACAAGCAAAGTAGGATTTCTTGTTGTTCTTGATGATCACTGTTTCCTCTGTTTCCATAAAAAGAATTTCTTTGCTTCAAGTGTTTATTCGTCGGAGGCTTGTAGTAGGTTTTTCTCACTATTACTTTGTACTTGGTACTCGATTATGAAAAAGAGTATTATTTTGTGCTTTTGAAACCTCATTATTTGTATTGTTTCCCATATAATCTACAACTAATGGTGCTAAATGGAACCAACCATCTTGTGTGAAAACTATTTGCTCTTACCGCTTAATGCCAGCGATCTGATATTTTTAACAAATTGAATCCCGCATTTGGTTTTGAATTTTACTTGTTGCTATCATTATACATCTGCTGAAAAGGTGTATTTCTATCTAAGAATTCTTAATGACTTGGGAAAGATGCTAGTACCACAGCTTTCTGACCTTAACATTAATACTCTGCCAGTAATAATTTACATGAATAGAATGAATAAATGGCTAGTCCCCGGCCTGTGGTAAGACAAGTAACCACTTCAAATTGGCAATGAGAGTGAAGAAAATTGTACACCCTACTCTCTCTCCAATTATGGAATATGGGAAGCTCATGGCTTCCTTAAAGCAGATGCAGCACCCATGACAACGGCCAATACAATGCCAATACCAGCTCCAACGGAAGCTCCCACAGCTGCAGCTGTTAAAGAATTTTCTCTGTCTTCAGAATCTTTACGTGCATTGATTGCCCTTGCACGATCTCGCCCCAATTCCACCAAAAGCCTTTCTCGAGAAAGTTCCTTCATAAAAAGGAAAAAGCAAAAATATCAAAAAATGAAGGGCACTTCAATTTGCAAGAGATAATGAGATAAATTACTGACTAAAATTACAACAAATATTATAACAGAAACAGTAAGTCGTAAAATAACTTCATACTGTGATATTCCAGGATTTCTAAAACACACCACACCCTTCCCAAAATTTCTAGTTCTTTGTCATCCTAACATGAACAGAGTAGATTTTATAGCAGATGAATATAATAGACAGAAACTTTATGAGATGTTTCTACCTCTAAGGAGGCTTCCTCGTGAGTCCTTAAAACGCGATGGACCAGATGACAAAGCGAGTTGACACCTTCCACTGGGAGAATGGTCTCTTTTCTTTGGAAAGGCCGCTGAAAAAATTTAATTGGAGCATAAATGAGCCTTGGAGCTCCCATCCTACCATCAGAATTTGCATCAGTGGCACCCAAAGACAAAGAAGCAGTGGCAGCGGTGTGAATAACATATGGGCAGGAGTTAATGAGTCCTGTGGTGTTTGGAGATCCTTGGTATGCCTGAATAACAGCATCAATGGCAGCCTTTTGCTGATGCGCACTGACAGAAAATTTGTTAGTTATGGCAAGGATCCAAGGGATTCCAAGTGATTTAGCTTCATCCAGCAGAAGTGAAAGGGCTGGCTTCTGTTGCGACGCATTTGAGTAGCGAGGTATTCTATGAGACAGGTTATGTACAAGAACAATCAAGTCACTTTTTCGATTAAGGTCGCGAATGCCTGTCCACAGTTCATCTCTGAAAAGAGAGGCCTCTGCACTCAACTCCTGCAATACAAATTTCATAAATATAAAAATGTGCAGATGAATAGGCAACTAAACCCTAAAGGAAAAAGTTGATATCAAGTAAATAAAAGTAAAAGAAGAAAATGAAGGGCATTCTGCTCATAGTACAAGAACGGGAAAAAGATAAGGATAAATTTCATGTGTGCACTAATACATATGCCATGATAGTAGAACAACTTAAATAATCAAATATCATATGTCAAACGTTGAGTGCAACCAAAAATTTGAAACAATTCTATTGGAATTACCTGCAAGTTTACTCCAGCTGAATCACAATAGCATAAACCTCCAGCTATACCTTCTTGAGCATCAGCCTCTGGGAGCAGATTCTCAATATTACTAAAAGTAGTAATTCTCCCTCGAGCTAATATTGCCTTAAGAAGAGAAGTTTTACCAGCTCCCTGCACAGCCCATAACTCATATGGATCACGATGGAAAAACTAATTATTGATATAGTGCTTAAGACTAAACAGTTAAAAACAGCAATACCTCAAGACCAAGTAACCGTACTCTACGAGTTCGTACGTGAACCTCTTTGGAGACTGTAGTGAAGTCACTGGTAAAGAATACAAAAAAATCATTCAAACCTTCAGGACGCAGTGATTTTTCCTCATGACATGATCCTGAGTTGACTTCCCTGTTGAGATTAGTTGCTTCAGAATCAATAGAAGGAAACACATGCATAAACGCATCTGCCGAGGTCTGATGCATTGGTGGATGTCTCAGTGGAGCTCCAACCAGGAGCCTCATTTTTTGTAATTCTGGCTGTACCCCGTAAGCCGGAGCTAAAGGGAATGATTCTACTGTAGTTGAACACCTGCGCGAAAAAATAATGTCATAAAGCATGAAATGGGTCATAATTCAGCAATTCAATCTCCATATTTTACCGCAATATCTAGTATGAACTTAGAACTATGCACACTGCACGTCTTTAATAGCAAGTGTAAAAGCTCACACAGAGTTAGTCATTCTATGAATAGCAAGCAATTGATGACCATGGTTGTGCATCCTAAGCCTGATCTGCTCTACCAGTTTCAAGATAGAAACAAGGTATTAAGGGCAAGGATAGTTGTAGGAATATTCGGTTATTACCCAATATCAATCATTCCATATTTGGAATGATTGACTTATTATATTTCCCGATTACTTTGGGAAGTTAACAGGATCATGATGTATAGCAGATTTTTAGGGATGTTAGTTTCTAGTTTCCTTTTCCGTAGACTAGTTTCCCTTTTCTGTTGAGGAGGCCTTTGTATATATATATGTGTTGTATTACCCTCTAAATGATATAGAAGAAAAGTTATTCTTCCTCCAAATTTACTTTTAAAGGATAGTCCACGGTCACGACAAAAACTATAATGATTTTGGACTCACATGGATTGAATGCCATCACTTTATCATCCTAAATAGTAAAGAGGACACTAAGAATATGATGACAATTATGCATCTACGCTTTGGAACTAAAATGTATAAGTAAATAAATCCAGAAAGAGATAGATGCCTGCACACATAGTCATCCTTGTAGAATCTGTTACTTTTATCCTACAAGCTACATTACACTGTATGCCAGAAAATTATATGAACAATGATCAATTAACTAATACAACATAAAAGAGTGACAAAAGACAATACCATTTACCATTCACTTGAGCATGAACAATGTTGCACAGATGCAATCCAAACCCAATTATATCAACCTTTAATGGTTCTCCATTTTTCTGACCAGGTACACCGCTCCATCCTAGAGGGGCAATTGAAGTAGCTGTACGAATTACTGGAGATTCTACGATAGCCCCAAGCTCTACAGTACCAGCAACTGCAAGGCCAAGCCACTGCTGCAGATGAGGGAACTGCTGCCACTGCTCCATTCCTATGAAAGGTGAGGAATCATCTCTAATGCACAGGTCATAGATTCTGAAAGTAGAGAAAATTAAAGGTCACTTAGTATTATTTTGACTATACACTGCTCAAAAATCTCAGAAATTTTAAGTTCTGCTCATCAAAACTTGTTAGTTATCCAGAGGACTTGCTTTGGTGAAATTCCAAAGTGAGAGCATAATAACGGTCATTAGAATTCAAAGTTCTGAACCTTTTTCAAGCTACAGTTAACAGATAACGCCAGCAAAAAATATATATATATATATATAGAGAGAGAGAGAGAGAAAGAGAGAGAGACTAAAGATTGTAGACAGATAAAATTATCAATTTAAATTGGTAACAGGTTAGTCAAGGGCGGCTTCCTAGACCTGAAAGTGCACAAAGTGAGGAAATAATTTTGAGATACATGCGCTGAGCAGATTGCACAGCCTCTCCTCTCACATTCCCGTGAGCAATGCACAAAATGGTCAATCCAGTTAGACCACAATTCTTACAGAATCTTGACACTAAATCAGGTATCAAGAGCCTCTTACCTCTGAAATCGGGACCTGTATGACTTCATCGAGTGTGATTGAAATCGTTCCCTTAGTTCCACAATCACAGATCTGACCTGAATATATCTTTGCCAGAATAAAGCAAACAAAATGAGAAATAATAGGTGCCAAAATTAGTGACAACTAGTAAACAACCAAATACAAATGCACATGCATGCACGCATACATAAAAGGAAAGGAAGCACATACCGAAGTCAATTTTGAATACTCTGCATCTGATAGCGACTGCACTGATGAATTCTCCAATAAATAAAGCTGGTCGGGAAAGAAAAAAAGTAAGAACATGACACAAAAGAGCTCCATTAATTTAATTGGAAAACAATAAATGATGACTTTAACCACTCCAAAGACATTCTTTGTCATCAAGTGAAATGCACTGAAATATTGGAAAGAGATTATTAAAGGTGTCAAGGTCTAAGGTTCTCTGAACTATTTTCTAAGCTGTATTGCATGTGTTCTCAGAAAACGAAGAAGAGAAAAATAGGGGTGTCGGCTCATTTACATACCTCTCCAAATGGTACATATGAAGGAAGATAAGGCACTCTAGCCCATTTCCTACCATCCCCACTTTTCATAGCACTTTTTTGATCAAGCTTGTCACCAGCGGGTAGACTTGGGATCTCTTTATCAGTGTCAGAAATAGGCTTAAGAGATACGCCGTCAGAACTTTCTTGGATTTCAAGAGACTGAGTTTCTACAACTTCATCTTCCACTAAAGATGTCGCCGCAGAATCTGATGTAGATAATGTTTCAACAGAACCAACTTTTTTCCCTCTGTATTTGTTTAGCTGTCGTCTTACACTATCTAAAGGAACCAGCCTAGAAAGTCTCCAAAAGGAACTATGTACAGGTCCTAGACCCAAAACCAACTGTTCACCTTCATTCTCTCTTAGTCTATTCATCGATTCCTCACGTTTTGAGGTGGATAAATTGCTAGTTTCAGTTTCTGAAGTTACCGACGGAGGCTGTGCATTATAATGATGAAAATAGGCGGGAGATAAGATGCGAGGTACAAGATCTTCTGGAATACAGTAAGTCTTGAAATAATGATGCCAACCTTTTCTTTGAACATAGCTGCGATGGAACAAAAACTTCTGTTAAGTTTAAGGAAAAGGAGTGAAAAACTTCCGGTATTCCACGATAAAATAGACAACTCAAAAGATCATTGGACACCTACTCTCTTAAAGCAGCATTCCCAACTGGAGGCTGGGAAAATGTAATGCATTTTACTTGAACACTTTCACTCTCTTTTTGGGAAGATGAAGCAGCAATAACCCTCAAAATGGCAAGGGTAGCTAATGCAGCTACCTACAATGAGAAACCAATGGGCAGAGACTAAATGGGTTACCCAATTGCAAGCAAGTAAAAATGTATAACCAAAGAATCAGATGCAGACTTACTGCTCCCCCAAGTGAATGACCGCATAGCACAAGCTTCCTTTTTTTCTTCTGGGCCAGCCTGTACAACTCCAAAGCAGGTATTCCTTTAGCACGAGCAAGAAAACCCTGGGGGAATAATAGAAACGTGGAAAAATGTAAGGAAAATTATTTAATTACGTGCACAAATACACTCCGTTGGAGCACTTATAGATGTAGGAGTGAAGTACCCTATAGATAAGGTTATAGGTAATACACCATGCATATGCCAATAAAACATGCGAAAGCCGAAAAAGAACAAAAATTGCAGCTATCTTACCCGATGAGCAGCAGGTTTAGGTTTAGACTTATCATTCAGTTGCTTAGATTTTGACTCTAAAGCGTTCCACAAATTTTCCACATTTCCCCTTCGACTTTCACTCTGATCGGACTTGTTCGTTTCAGTGCCATCAACTTCCTCCACAGAATCCTCATGAAATATAGCGCCTTGAAATATATTGGCATCGGTCATAACATCCCTTCATTAACACCCAAAAACAAAAATCACATTTCGTAAAACTCAAACAGCTAATTCATCAATCACCAGAGAGACGGCACACTTACTTGTACTGCTTAGTTCCAACGAAGGAAGCAAACAATGTATCACCTGCTTCTGCCAACAAATACCTGAAGCAATAGTAGCCCACCAAAAAAAAAGGGCGAGCAATTATACATCATCATCATAGTTTCAAAACATGAAAATTCTCACAATCTAATGGGAATAGAATAGTAACTCAAAGACAAACAGAGCGAATTACATGCATTACAAGCATTTTTACTCTAAAAGAAAAATGCAATAACATATGTAAAAACACAAATTTTCTGATTAATTGACAAAGTGTCCTAGTACGGCATCGGAAGCTACGATGAGTAACACATTTTGCAAAAACCACGAACTTTCTCACACAATAAATCTTGCACACAAAAAAAAAAAAAAAAGCAAACCTGTGA